CTCCAGGCCCAGAGGCAGTCACAAAGCACCAGGAATCTCTTCATGGTGGGCTCTGAAACTAGAAGGAAAATAACCATCAACATCCCCTATATTAGAACGATATCATGGAAAAACTATCTGATTTTGGAAACTTCTGGAGAATAACTTGATGTCAGGCAATGACCTCATAACAGTTTATCTCGTGTCATTCAGAATAAGGGCACATGGCCTTGGCTTTCCCCCTGTTTACCTGTCAGACCCAGAGGCTTAGGGTGGGATTTATTTTGCAGTAAGGGTGTATTCCTGTTTATGTTTTTCTTGAACTTCAACAAAAACAACAACAGAGTTAAAGCTGCTGTCCCCAAACTCCGTGGCAATTGCTACTCAGTTTCCTCCTGTGTTGAAAATGTAACAAGGCGCCTCCATAACATTTACAGATAACCAAATGTGGTTGTTTTTTGTTTGACTTGAACCAGCCTGAGCCCTTCCAAACCTTTTGTAAGGTGTCAGTGTGTGGTAGTGTGACTGAGGAGAGCGGTGCTTTCCTCACAGCCACTGCTTTGCTTTGATGTGATGGAAGCAACTTTCTTCTACATAGGCTACAATTCTCCTCTTCCCTGAAATACCAGCCTCAGAGAAGGACTAAAATGATCAGATTCTCTGTGATCTGTTTCTACACGTTCACACTAATGTTGTTGGGCTAAAGGGCACAATTCATAATGAAACCATGTGCTGACAACCTACACACCATCTCCTAAATCTCTACCAGTCTGAATGCTGCTAGGAAATGTTTTTTGCATTAGCAGCTTTCTCTTCCTCTCCAAATGTCTCCTGTCCTCTCCCCAGACTTCACTCCATTTACCTTTGAGTAAAAGGTAACACAACTCATAAGGTTCCTTTCGCCTTCTAATAAACCATAAAATAAAAAGTTATCTGATATTTGTGGAACTGGTGTTCCAGATTCCACTGATTGCCTAGGAGATGTTGCAGGTTCCTTTACATATCAATATAATGCCTGCTAGAATCTAGTCGATTTTTAGGATTCATTACATGAAATAAGGGCAACAAAATATGATGCCTGTATTTCCCCCCAATAATGAACAGGAGGGTTTTTTACGTGCCTGAGAAAACGAAACACTGTACACTGAAATGTTGTTGTACCTTTAAATAAAGCTACCCCAATTCACTGCACACACTCAGGGACAATTGAAATCGATAAAATACCGTTACAAAGCGGTATGTAAGCAATGGGATATAATTAATGCGTTTATAGCCAAATGATCGGCAGATAAGCATTGAGTGGGGCTGAGCTAATCTAACTGGATAGGAAAGAGCTGGATGTGGCAGGAGAGCGTGGATAAAGATCTTCAGGGACGAGACTGCATCTTAACTTGCCCTGTAATCAGCCCCCTTACGAAGGGAAAGGCAACATCTGTAGCTTCAAAAATCGCCTTCTCCCGGTCCTGCCAACTTCTGCCTTTGCAAAAGGCTCCTCGGGATGAAGAACGGAAAGTGAATTATTCTGAACTATCTTGATCTGTTGAGCTCCATGCTCGCCCCCCTCCTCCCAACACCACCCCCCCGCTTCAATAAACCCATCCAGACACTATAAATCCCGGAGAAGGAAAGTTTCTTGCAGCTGGAAAAATTAAATGTTAACAACGACTTTGCAAGAGCATTAAAGCCCAGCAGCCCCCAGCCCCTGGCCTCCCCCAGCCCGCACCGCCTGAGAAACCAGCGCCGGTTCTCCCATTCAAAATGGGAGAAAGAGCCACGCTTTTGGGAGCCTTTCAGCAGCGCCCCCTGGAACGGAGGAAAAAAAAAAAAAAGGGAAAAATTGAAAACAGAAACGGGGGTAAAAGGGGCATTTCGATGCATTTTGACTGCAGGTGAGCGATTTGCCCCTCTCTAAGGCGCAAATCGAGACTTGTTTTCCTGCCGGCATTTCAACTTTGCATCCCCCTGCCCGGAGCAGCCACC